CACAGTATTCTCTGGTAAACAATTAAGTTCTTTTCCAAATAAGCGCTCAGCTAATAGAAACAGCATTCCTAGATTATTTTTTTTTTTTTTTTTTTTTTTTTTTTAAAGGGCTTCAGCTGTTTTAATGTCAACTTGTGCTGGGAATACTATAACTACATACAACCCTTTTCAGCTTTCAATCACTTGCATCTTATGTACAAAGTAAGGAAACCAAATACATCAAATTTTGAGAAATAATTTATTTATCAAACCTGACAATTGCATATAATTATAAAGCCAAACATTAATATATCAAGATTATTGCAATTATCACCATTTGCAGATTCTTGTTTAACTATGGTAGATGGAAGTATTAGTTGCCTTTTACATCACTTTTCACTTCCTGAAACAAAACAAAATGATTTTCTTAATCATCCATCTGAAATAATAAAATTAGCAAAAAAAAAAAAAAATAATCTTTAGTTTAAATTAGTTTAATACATCAAAACAAAACAAGAAAAAAGTGATTGAATGAGATGAATCATGGCATAGATATCTATAAAATTTTGCTTTAGTTATAAAGGGGGAAAAATTTAAGTTATTTTAAGAGAAACATAAGCTAGAGAAATAAACTATTAGGCCTAATTTAAATAATTTAATTCCTTTCTCCCAAAACACTACATGTAACCTTAAAAAAGAAAACTTAAAATTTATCAATATTTACCTTGTGTAAAAATTCTTCTGTACATCTACTGTATCAGCTTGACACTCATTAGGTATGCCTAGTTCCTGTTGAGCAGTTAAGACAGATTAAGTAAATAATTCAAATTTGTAAGACAAACCACTAAATGATACTGTTTTATATATATATATATATATATATATATATATATATATATATATATATATATATATATATATATATATATATATATATATATATATATATATATATATATATATATATATATATATATATATATATATATATATATATCCTTCCTGCAAATCAGCATATTTTGCAAAACAAATATTTAAAAAAATACATAATGATATTGTATCAATCATCACCACTGACTTGGTTTTACTAGGTAAAATATTTTTTTAAATACAATATTTATACAAATAAAAATCTATCTCAATCAACATGTTCAAAATAAACCAAAGCAAACTTGTGATAACTTACCTGATTAATGTTTGAGAGGATTCACCCAGTTCTCGCCACTGAAGCAGATTAGATGCATGTGTTATTACACTTGTGATATACTGATTGCCATTTTGTGTACTTTTAGTCCTGGAGATCTATGTTGTAGGCATAGCCTGTTAAACCTGGATAGTAATATTATAGAAGTAAATTATATCTAGTATAATATAAATATTTTAAAATATAAATGACACTAAATTATATTTATCATTATTGGAAATAAAAATGGTACAATTAAGTTATAAAAAAACAAATTATAAAATTTAAAGCAGCTTATTAATAATTGTCATACCTTTTCCTACTTTTATGTCAAATGTAAGAGGTAATAGAGAAAGAACATCTTGTGTCATTTAGTATGCTGTAGTCTTATTATGTAAAAATCAGATCTTCCCTTTTTTTTGGATGAACCTGTAAAAGAGAAATTACAACATGGATAAACACAATGAATATCATATCTAATCCTCAACTAGTTATCACCCCAATCCTGACCTCATTTTTTAAAACCAATTTCTAAATATGTTTTCAGAACAAATGTATGTTAAGTCTACCTATTTTAATGTTCAGAATACTAATATTTATCAAAACTACCTCCAGTTGAAATTCAAGATACCTTTATAAAAAGTTATTATGACTTTAACTTTGTGTAGTTGTTATTTAGGCTATTTGTTTAATTTATATTATTTAAATTAATATTTCATGCCTTGTTTTAAAAAGATCTACAAGTCTACTTTTGATTTTATGGTATAATCTGATAAAAATTAGGCTGCTACATCTGAAAACTAAGGTCAATGCAAAGACTTCCAAATTAACGATAAGTAGGCTTGTATAGATATTGTATATAATTACTAGCCCAATAGTATTACTCTACGACCAATGTATAGGACTTAATGTATCAGACCTAATTCCTATAATTAGGCCTACTAATTATTAAATAATTAATAGATCTAACAGTAGGATAATTACAATTATGGGCCTTAGCTGACATAGAGAGCTGAATACTTAACTAAACATTTTTAAAAATTATAGTAAGCTAAGTGAGTTGAATGATTTTATTTAGATAGGCCTAGGCTATAATATACTCTATAGCAGTCTATAGTGATAGTCGCAGAGTAGCGTATATCATAATAATTTCAAATTAAATCTATAAGCAACATTAAGCCTCTGCCTTGTTGCCTAATTAAAAACTAAAGCCTATTAAGCCTTTTCCTAATAAGCCTTTGGCCTAATTTAAATAACAGCCTATAGGCCCTATAATATATAAATAGGCTAAACTACTTGTAAGACCTAATAGACTAATGACTAAGAGAGTGCTAGGCCCCTTTCCGATATTATATAATAATTGCTTGATCGATATCATAATATCTAACACTGATTACATTAATTTACATAAGGCTATACCATCTTAACTATGACTAATACTTTTTCTACTAATAAAATAGGCTATCTCTAGTTTAAACTTAGGCCTAATAGTAATTAGTAATTATAACTAAGTAGGCCATTTTATGACATTTATAAAATTTTTAGTAGATGGCCGAGCCTTAAATTTAAATAGTAAAATAGATTTAGCATACTATGCCTATTGTTGGTCTAATTAATAATTTATTTTTCATTTAGAATTTTAGATCTCCAAAAGATAGGCCTAGGTCCTAAATAAATTATTTTTATTTTATTGAGCCCGCCTTAATGTATAAGATGTGATCTGTTTTTTTAATAAAAATAACCCTACACAATACTAGTGATTTAACTAATATCTAGTACTACTTTAGGCCTATTTAATTATTTATTAGTAGGCTGAATAAAATCTAAAGCTATAAGGCCTACTTTATTACTATATTTGCCTATTATTCTATAATTAATTTATGTTTTCTTTCAATACATAGTAGATCCTGTGGTACCTCAACATTCTAGTGCCTCGACATACCAGATTTTTTTAAATACGAGCAGTTGAGCGAGTAATATTTCGCTTTGAGTTACGCGCAAAATTTGAGATACCGTATTTCTCAGTTCATGTAAAAGAAATACCCCCAAAAAGATGCAAATGATTATTTATCGCAGCTATTTAATTATAATAATAAGCGTCTTACTCATATTTGCAGCATTATGAAAGGGAGAAAGAAATAAACTTCCTAAACAAGTTTTATTTTAAGCTACCAGCACATGAAAGTGACTTAAATTAAGCATGGCAAAAAAGAAGAGAAAAGCTGTCACGAAAATTAAGCTAACGTAATAATTTTATTTAGTATTTAGGCCTTACGTTTAAGTCTTAAGTGCAACAATGCTCAGTGAATTTTAGCCATTAATGGCATTAAGTTTAGGAATGATGTGTACTTGTGTAGCTTTAACTTTAGTATATTTTTAGACCTAAGCCTAATCTTGTAGATATAGATCTAGATCTACAAACAATTTGAAATAGAAGAGATTTAAAATTGAGTAGATCTAGATCCTAAATGCTAAAGGACAGCTATGCCACAGAAATAATTATCTTTCTATCTAGTCAATCTAGACTAGATCTAGTGCTACTGAAAAATTACTAGATTTTCTAGATCTAGATTCTATCATTTACTTTCGACGCACTAGGCATACTTTTAACTTTTTCTCTCTAGTCAATAATGTAGATTTCTAGATCTAAATGTAAATCCTGATCTTGTAGATTTGATTTACGTAGGTTTTACATCAGTGTAAATCGTTGATCAAGTAGATCTAGTCTAGATCTGGACTAGCTCTCGTCAAAACAAAATGGCTGGAATATTAGCTTCAAAACACCTACAGTTTATGCTTTCCTAATTGTGGAGAGCATGTTTAATTATTGTTTTATTTTCAACGACAGTGTTGACTGAGAAACCACCAAAGGGTTTTATTCTCAGCGACACAGTCGGAGAGAGGCTCAACGATTCTGTCGTTGAGATGATCCGCATGGGGTGATTTGGTCCTTGGCGCACGCGTGAGATTGTTGCTGACGTCATTTACTATTCATTTTTTTTCGGAAAAGGCCATTAGCGGGAGTGTTGACGATAAAAACGATTTTTACAATGCAAACCCGGAAATTTTCAAACTCAAATCTTGCGAATCCGGAAAGGGATAAAAATATGATTCTCGAATCCGGAAATCCGGGATATCCCGGAAAAGTGGCACCCCTGCTAACATTACCGCCTAATTCACTTGTCTGCATACAGAATTTCTTTCGGGCATCTCTTTGAGTGCAAGAATAGTGTGACTTAAGTTTGAGTTTAGTGGTATTACTAGGACTGTATTTAGTGTGGGTATGCAGTAACTATGTGTAGATCAAGGTTATATCCAGTTAAAATGCTGATTCTGGATAAAAATCCGTTCTCCGTGACTTTTTCGTTTCTGGTTAAATTTGAGGTTAAGGTGGTGATTTTGGTTTCAGTTTAGAGAAAAGATACGCTATCAACCTAGCACCTGTAGTTTCTCCCTCAGCGTACTATTTATCTAGTGAAAAATAGTCAGCATTCATTTTTTGTTGATTCTGAAATTAAATGGTTAATAAAATACTAGATCTAGCTGGTGTTAAATACAAGTAGATCTGCCTTGACTTTTTTCTTTTTAAATATATTGTTATCAATGTATTCTGGATTGTGTTTTTAAGTGTTTATTTGCTTTAAGAAGTCACTATATACATAACCAGCAGGTACCCAGGCATGATGTATTTATTTTGTATAAGTGAAGTTAATTTTGAGATGGCTGTTTCATTTATCCTAATAGATTATGTGAATATCAGGATTGCTTTGTTTGTGTTTTTGCTAGTTTACTAACAAGGTGTTTTCTTTTCCTATCTCATTGTCTATTATTTTTTAAGGTTAGAGCTGTTAGACCCCACAAGTTGGCTGCCATGAGTAAGAGACAAAAGACTGTAACACGTGCTTATGGTGGATCTAGATGTCATAAGGCTGTTAGAGAAAGGTGAGTGGGTGGTCCATTGGCTAATATCTGTAGTTAATATCCAGTGCTCTTCTTTAGTGTTATTGTAATCAGTTTTTGTCCATTGCCATTACAGTTTGGAAATTGTTTGGAATGAACCCTGTATTCCCTTTTTGCAGTCAAAATATTTTCTGCTTTGTTAACATATACTTGATATGGCTAATAATTTTTTTTTTTCTCTAGGATCATCCGTGCTTTTTTGATTGAAGAACAGAAAATTGTTGCTAGAGTACTCAAAGCACAGGAAGCCACTAAAAAACACTAAGTTACTTTTTAAATAAATGTCTAAAATTTACCTTGAGTTGTTTTCTCCTTGAATGTCAGTTGCTAAATGTCGAGAGTTGGTTTATAATCATTCATTTTGTAATACAATGCTCTGTCATTTTTACAGTTCAGCTAACATAATGAAAAACAATGTACACACATTTGTATGCTACTTACTATGTAATGTAATTCATTGCTCCCGTGTGCGCAGCCTACTCTGGTAATGTGGATAAACTGTCAGGTGTCCTTTTGAGCTAGACTGCTACTACTGCTGATCACTAGAACGTTCTTGAGTCTACCTAGCTCACCTTAGGGAACACTAAAGGCTGATGGGCATAGTGCTGGCCGCACTATCTTGTCGTATGTCAAGTGTTGTCTTATTTAAGGCACAAACAGGAAAAGATGAAGGGCTCAATTTACAGTAACTGCCCAAATGTGAAAAACGTTATCAATTATGGCCTGTGTTGGTACACTGATTACTTTTGTCTAAGTAGAATTGTGTTACTGTTGACAGTCAATATTTCTACTTCAAGAAAGGGTAGGCACCAACTCAATTATGTGGCTTTAAAAATAAACTTAGGTAACCTAATTTATAATCAAAAGTAAAGCTGTCAAATTTGATGCATCTTAAACTGGCTGGATGGACTTTGTGTACTAGTTTTGAGATACCAACCTTAAGTTGCAAGGTGTTATCTCCACATAAGTGAAATATTAAGTAACATTACGTTACACAGGATTGGGGAGGTGTGCTGAAAAGAACATTACAACATTTTTCTTAAAATGCTCATAATTTTCTGGGTCAAACCAATACAGATTATTTTAAAAAGAACTTTATTGGCCATTGAACAGCTGGGTTTTTAACTGAATCATTTGTCTGTTAATCAGCGCGTGCATATTTCTTTGCTTTGTCACTATCTTTCAGCGTGTAGTGAAGCACATAGCGTTTTAACGAACAACTATTTTATAAATTATTTTTCTCGGGTATAAAATTAATAATTTATAGACCTACAATTCGCGTGTAACGGGCACCGTCAGCTAGTGTATACCTAGTAAGCACCGTTTTCATAGTATATTATTAGAAATGGTGACCCCCCCCCCCCCCCCCCACACTGGTCGTTGATTGAAATTACCAGTAACTGAAAATATTCAACGCAACATATTTTCCTCAGTACATTTTGCAGTTGGTGTCACCTTTTGGTGATAGCTTTATAGTATAGTGCAGGGGTCTCCAAACTACGGCCCGCAAGGTCCTCTCATCCGGCCCGCGGAGCTCTTTTTTGTCCACGGAAAAAAATGTCTGTGGAACTTTGCCCAGAAAATTCAAAACAATTTGAGAATTTAGCTTTGGGTGCAAATACTTTTGCCCACCGGGTTGCAGACATTGGTGAAAACATTGTGACTCAAATAGTGAAAAATACAAGCACGTTTCACTATTTTTTTAATTGCAATGGACGAGTCGCTGGACAGCTGTTTCACTTCTCAACTGCTTGTATTCATTAGGGGTGTGGATGAAGACATGAACATAACACAAGAGCTGGCTTCCCTACATAATATGTATAGCACTGTTACAGGAGAGGATACATTCAATGAGTTAAAGAAAACATTTGCTGATTATAACTTGGACAGGACTAACCTCAGTTACCTGACTGTTGATGGGGAAAAGTACATTAGTGGCATAAAGAAAGGATTGGTTGGACAAGCGAATGAGAAAAATATTCTACAACCAATGCTCCTGCACTCTATTATTCATCAGCAAGCTTTGAGCGCTAAATATGTGGACATTAGCAGTGGTAAAGATGGCGAATTTAATAAGGTCACATGGGCTCAACCATAGATATAGAATAAGTGAAGAATAATTTCACAGCAAACTTGGACCTCGAGTGTGTTGTCGGCCCTCGACAATGTTTCTTTCCGATTTTTTTTCTCTTCTCTATATTTTGTTGGGTGCGGGGCGGTGGAGGTTTTTTATTTTGGGGGGGGGGGGGGGGGGGGGGGGCTCCATAACACCGAAGATATGCATTGAAGAAACTCTGGCCCCCGAACTGATATTTGATAGTCGATGCGGCCCTCGGTCTGAAAAGGTTGGAGACCCCTGGTATAGTGTGTACAGTCGGGATTTGTAATTTAACAAACCTGTTCACTCTAATTAAGTATTAGATTTATTGGCAAAATAAAATTGCAACTTTATATTTTGCAATTTATTTGTCTTGGTGTCACCCGGTGCGGTCCGCACCCTTGCGACGCCTGTGGACTAGTGTATATATATATATATATATATATATAGATATAGATATAGATATAGATATAGATATATATAGATAGATATATATATATATAGTGTGTGGATTTTTGTGTTTGAAGGTAATACTAATACATTTAAACATGATATTCTTTAATTGATCTCCATGGTTACATATAATTATGAACTGGACTTTCACCATGTGCTGGTATTGTAATGTTGCTGTCAACAAGTTTGTGCTCCTAAACTTGTGTGGATCAGACTAGGCAGGTAAATAAAGGTTTTATTCTGCCAATGGTACTGGTCTAAACACTGAAGCGGTCGACATCATGCTTACTACGTAGCACTGTCAACGATCTCAAAAAACAGGAGTCATTCAGGTGATTTACATGGCGTGGCTGCGTCGTCTGCCCGTGGATCTGCTCTCTTGTAGGTGAGCGCACAGCATATCTGGCCTTGACCTTAAACCAGCGAGACGGTGAATAATGGCGTCTTGCACGCTGGTGAAGAGGAAGCACATGAAGTCGTTGAGAACCGACATCACAAACGGAGTGACGTAACGGATCTTCGGGTGGACGGAACTGACAGCGTCTACGTAGCAGTTGACGACCTCGTCCGTTTGGGCGCGCGCGGTCGAGCGCACGATTCTATCTCTGGCTGTCTGCAATTTGAAAAAGTAGTTCTAGAATAGGACGTGGGCTTGTTTGGTATTGATATCAACATATCCCCACTTGCATTTAGTCTAGTAGTTTTACTATGTTAATGTTCATTTTGAATACGATTTTTTGGGCTTTTTAAACGCTCTCTGTTGCTACTGTTTATTTATATACTACATTTAATAAATACAAAGACCACCTAGCTTATGAGAATAAACCCAGAGTTCCTTTCATGCATCTTTTCGGGGAGGGGGGGGGTATGTCCTCCTAAGAAAGCTACCGCCATTCTCCAGTGGCGTAGGCAAGGGGGGTAGGGGGGGTCATAACCCCCCCCCCCCCATAGACCCCTCGGTATATATATATTAAGTATGAGGGGGGTGCAAATCAAAAGTCTGAGGGGGGGGGGGTACAAATCGAAAGCTTGTCCCCGGGTAAAAATTGGAACCCCCCCCCCCCCCTTGAGACGATCCTGGCTACGCCACTGCCACTCTCCCCCCTGAGAAAAGTCTCAAAACTCAAGTATAGTCCAAAGGAACAGACGGTAAGAGCATGTCGCACGAGCCAACGGTCTATCAAAAACTATAATGCAGGCCATGTGCACTGTGCCATGCACTGTGCCATAAGTGTGGGAGGGAAGTCGAAGACTGGATAAAATTATAAAATGGAAGACTTCAAGGAACGGACTAAGCTGCAGAATTACACTCAGCAATTGGAAAAATGGCAAAAAAAATGAGAAAATTAATTTAAGTGACGATTTATCAGTGGCTTAGCGAGGTCTGGTGTCAACCAGAGGCATAGCGACCCATACCGGGGTCAAACTTTCGATTTGCACCCCCCTCAAATTTTTCTGTATATATTTTGCTATTTTTTGCCTTGGTGTCACCCCCCTAAATGGTGTCACCCGGTGCGGTCCGCACCCCCCCCCCCCCCTCGCTATGCCTCTGCGATTTATTGATGTAAATCTGTTTTTGCTACCAACCTGGTGTTCAGAAAAGAACGTCTCGCCGTAATCTCGCCTGATCCCGGGCTCAGCGTTAGACCAGAAGTTCTCGTTCTGAGCGTGGTGCATGGACACAGAGGTCATTGCCGTGCTGCAGAATGTCCAACAAAATATGAATCAAAATAATTATATTTTTTTTCAAATAACGCGTTAATTACTTCAGGTATGACTTGGTTTATTGATTAAAAATAATTAAAATGTTGTTACTTGTAAGCGCACGGCTCGATTGTGATGACCTTGACCCCGAAATGCCTCATCTCCCGTCGAAGGGCATCAGAGAAACCAATGACTGCGAATTTAGAAGCGGCGTACGCCGTCATGCCGGGCATTCCCGTCCGTCCTGTAGAGATAAAGGTGGGGGGGGGGGGAGATGGCGGAGTGCCAAAAATAACAAAACTAACATATTGTCTACGGACACTAGGCATAGTTAGCTCTAGTTGAGCTCCAGTGGCTTGCGGTGGAATATGTACTGTTAATATGATGTGGGGGGGGGGGGCTTATTTATAAGGACAATATGGGTTTCATATCCGTAAGCGATGTGATAGAATAGTACTCTTCACTCGGCCACATATCAAAAGATTTGTATTTTATAAATAATTTGAGACTCTAAGGGGGCTGGCTTAGTTGCGCGAGTCCACGGACCCAGAGTTTCTTCCAGGCATATCTGAGCCCCCCCCCCCCCCCCCGAAAAAAGTCCCCCCCACCACCCGAAAAAGTCACGAATTTATCTGGAAAAAATATACTTTTAACAGTGTCCCCCCCCCCCCCCCCCCCCCCGAAAATTTCAAGTTCTCCCCCGGAGAAAAAAGTCTGGAAGAAACACTGCACGGACCACTGTTAAGTTCTAAACAGACAAGGAATTTAACATCAATCAGTCGTGTTGTCTGAAGCCTTGAGCTGCCTATAATTTAGAATAATTCACTGTCTCACCTGCCATGCTGGCTGTGTTAACGACTCGTCCCTTGGATGCCCTGATGAGTGGGAGGAACGCCCTCGTGACGTTGACCACGCCCATAATGTTAACATCCATCAACTTTTTGAAATCTCGTTTGGGGGTGACTTCAAATTCGACATCAATCATCACCCCGGCATTGTTGACGACTGCCCATAAAACTGTAAGGAGAGGGGGGGGGGGTTTAAACAACTTTTAAATTAACAGGCGATCATAAAATCTATTTTGCTAAATGAATCCTACACATTAAAATAAAACAACAACATAAAATGGATCATTACAATTTTTTTTATACTCGGTTATATTTATCAAAATGTTGGCCTAATTTATTATGCCTATTATTTTTTTTTTACTGAGAAACGTAGATAGTACTAAGTCATTTAGTAATTAGTATTATACTTAGCCATTCAAATAGGAATTGTGGGATTATGATACTCACTGTTTCCCATGAGACTGTCGACGACCTTGACCCTTGCTGCCTCAATCTGCTCCTCGCTGGTGACGTCCAGCTGCAGAATCTCAAGCTTCGGAGAACATTCGCTTTGGAGCTTCTTCGGGCCTTCACCTTTGGCGTCAAGGCAGCCAGCAAAGACCTTAAAACCATCCTCGTCCAATCGTCTGGCTGC